TTCTTTCTTTCTTTCTTTCTTTCCCTCATCCCTCCGTCCAGCTCCAAACTAGAAGCCCTGAGTAGAGGCTCGTAGTTGAGCTGTCAAAGCAATTAAACTGGAGCGGCAGGGAAAAGAGCACTCCCTCCTCCTCCCTCCTCCGCCTCACCCCTCCATTCTTCCTCTTCCCTCCCTCGCCCCTCATTTCCCTCCATCTTTTCTGTGTCGGGTGCTGAAAAGAGCCGGAGTCGGTGATAAAAGGTCCGCTGATTAGAAAGAGCCGGGGCTATCTGGGCCCTGCAGAGGTATGTGACGAACCAGGAATCTGGGGGAGCACTACAATGGTACCTCTGTAATATCACTGGGGGGCCCCCGGGGGCCTCATCTCACCCGCCCCGGAGAGAGATCTCAGCACCAGAGAGGCAGAGGACGACGGTGTATATATATGTGTGTGTTGCAGCTCAAAGTGAAACTAAGCATTTGAAGTTTTTCACTCTTGAAGAAGAAAGTGTTTTTTTTCCTCCCCGTCCTCAGTCTCCTGCCTGTCTCTTTACATACGTCTCCTCTGTTTGCAGGTTGTGTGGAGAAAACTGGGTGATGCAGCAGGATCAAAGCTGTCCATCAGACAGCACCTCTCTGGGAACCAGTTCAAAGGGCCGCTGTAGCGTGGCAACCGGCGAGAGACGGGATCTACAGTAACCTACGCTCACCTGAATACAGCTCCACCTCTGACCCTTCATGCTCCTTTACTGCCTACATCACCCAGCATTCCTTCAGCGAGAACACTCAGACCGGCTACACAGAACGGACCCTGTTAGTCTGTCGTTCACAACTTTTTTTTTTCTTCTCTCTCAGAGCTTATGTTGACAACTGGCAGCTAGTTTCACCGATTCGGAGGCTTTCCGATGCTCTCTCTGCACCGCTTCTCAGCCCCTTCTTGTTTTTTTTTTTCGAGCGTCGCCGTGCTACAATAAGGTTCCAAGCACAGAGCCGACAAGGCCGCGGGGGGCGGACGTGAAGGACACTATCTCCAGATATAGTTCCTCCTTGTAGAGATCCCCAGCTCCCGTCACATGTATCGCTCCCCCCCTCTAGTGGTCGACGAGTATAACTAGCATTAGCATTCTAAACAAATGTTAACTAAGTGAAACCCACTGTGACCTAGCGCCTTTTTTTTTTTTTGCTCGTAAGACAAGTCTATTGATAATAAAGTCTAGAGATCACTGTTAACTCGTGTATATTATGTATAAAACCATAGCACTACTTCATTGTTGATTTTGTATTCTAGCGTGGCCATGTGATCAATAATTCAGTTTGAAAAAGCACACACACACACACACACACACAAACAACCGGACCTTAAACAGGGTTTGCTTTTGGTAATAATTTCTTTTTTATTCTTTTTTTTCCAAGATGAATTCCTATTGTTCCTTCTGACAAACGCTATTGAGGCCATTCTTCAATCTCCATTTGGACTGATCTTTTTTTTTTCTTACTTTGTGAAACTGAAAAAAAAAAAAAAAACAACAACAACAAAAAAACAACTGTATGCTGTGTGCATGCTTGACAATCATTTTCTCAGGTTGGGAGGGCTACAGCTTTACCTTTTGCCCATTTGTGAGTGCGTTTGTGCGGCGTGAGTGAGTGGAAGGAGGCTGAGTGGTTCTCTAACAGCTGTAGCATCTGCCTGTGAATCCTCTTTTTTTTTTTTTTTTTTGGCTATTTGAACCCTGGTTACAACACGGTTGAAGACTGCTGAAGACATTTTCTGAATCCGTACGAATTTCGAGGTGAAATATGATGTCTGGATG